AAAAAAAAAAATCGAAATTAAAGACCCGCGAGAAAAAAAGGGTTGTCGCGAGAACTGTTGACGCATTCTTTAAAAACTGCTGTAAAACTTCTAAATCAACCTTTAAAAGTCAGTTATACGTTTTTATTCCTTCGAATCATAAACTGAAAAGATAGAAGACAAAGTAAATGCTATATTATATGCATTAACATGAGTTTTTGCAAACGAACGTATTAGCCTATTTTAGTCTTGTTTTGTTGTGGTCCATTTTACCTTCGTAAGTTTTCGGATAATGTTTTGAAAAAAAAAATTACGAAATTTGTTCCTCTTCCCTCACGATTTTTCTGCCATTTAACTTGAAGGGTTAAGTTATGTGAAAACGTTGGTAACATTTGGAATTATTTACGCAACAGAGCCACTTCTACAAAGCATGACTAAAATCGTTTACCTCCATTGACTCACCTTCAATATTTTTTATAAACCGCTTTAGACCATGCTGAATTACGTGCGCCAATTTTTCAAAACCAGGGTAGTTTTCCACACGCTTTATCTCTGAAACGAAGTCGGTGACCCCCAACTTTTTTGCATTTCTAACACAAGTAACTCATTTTCTGACTGCAGTAAAAACTGAAGAAATCCATCGACTGGAATATTGAGTTTGTATTTGCGTCAAACTAACTACCAACTAACTACCAAATTGTCGTAGCCGTTGAAAGTAACTTTTCTACTGAGGCAAGGAAAACTGAAAAAAAAAACCTTGGAGCCAACTAAGGCAATTTTTTTTTCGTGGCATGCGTAAGCTTCAGTAGTGTAGCAGCTCTCGTAAGCTGCTATTGTTTTATTATTGTAGCAGCTGTAATTATTTTAGGGCTAGGGGCATTGTTTCTGTTGTTTGTAATACTGTACCCTTAAAGAGTGTCGAGCCATTCATGTGAGACCTCACGAGAGCTGCAACATGACCCATAAGCTTACTATACAAATTAATTGTTTCGTTTACTTGCTTAGGATTCTAATAATACTAATAAAGCCCTTATTCAAGTGTTAAGCTTAAACAAAAGTATAGGAACTACTAAATGAGGACACTAAAAATAAGAAAAAAAGTACTGTAAACTTAATTAATGGTAAAATTAATTACAATTACAATTTCCTCAAATGTGGTGGGTCCATAAACGTACTGGTGTATTTTGCTCTCATTAATCTGCAAGGTTGTAATCGGACAGTGTAATCGGA